AGGGGCTCCCGGCCGGGAGGGGAGCTGGGCAGTTGCCGGAGCGCATCTGGGCCGCTCAGAGTCCTGAAGCTGGAGCGAAGCTTTGTCTGAGGAGACCACCCTGCCTGGTGCACTGCAGGTGTGCAGCCTCGCTGGCTGGGTGGGGATCATGGGGTCTGTCTCATAGGGGGTCTCTGTGGGAGGCGGGGGGCCCACGTGGCGTCACTCACAGGGGTAAGGGATGCGGATCCAGGGCGCGATCGCCATGATGTCCCCGCGGGCGTCGGTTCGTGCCTGGAAGCCGTAGACGGCCGGGTCCGCGGGCAGCACGTCCGTCAGCGTCAGCACGTAGCAGAGCAGCCACACGGTCATGATGGCCAGCACGATCTACGGCGGGCAGGGCGGGGAGCGCTCTGAAGCCACCGAGCACCGAGGTCTTGGCGCCGGCTCGCCGGCCCCTACTTCAGCCCTAGCCACAGTCCCAGCTCAGACCCAGGCCCCGACGCCCGCTCCAGCCTCCGGTTGGGACCTGTCTCTGCTCTGACTCTAGCTTCCATGCACGCCTGCCCTTGCCCCCACGTGGCCCTGGGCACGGTCCAGCCCCTGCCCCAGTCCCAGGCTCAGCCGCCTGCCAGCTCCTCACAGGAAACATCTTGAAGATCTGGATGCGGAAGAGCGTGAGGCCCTTGCCCCAGCGGTAGACAGGCAGCAGGAAGGTGAGGTTGCGCAGGTACTGGGAGAAGAGGACGATCAGGAGAATGGAGCTGGGGGCAGAGGCACAAGGAGGAGGTGGGCGACAGGCCAGGCTGGAGCCCCGAGCCAGGACCTGAAGAGGGTGGGGGATGGGGCCAGGCAGGGATCATGCCTGGTGCCTGCTCACCAAGCCGAGATGCCCCAGTGGGAGCCAGCTCGGTCGCCAGCAGCTTGGAAGACAGAGAGGCCAATGAGGGAGACAGTGGGGGTGACCGTGAGCGGCCCGATGTAGCTGAGCAGGGCCCCAGGCAGTCCCATCAACCCAATTACCACCTCTATCATGCTGGACACCATGATTGCACCTTGGACCTGGAAAGGCAAATGTCAGCTCTAAGTCACCAATGCAAAGGCCTTGACCTGGCTGCTGGCAGGATGAAAGCTCCTGGACCACCTCCTCACACCTCCAACTCGGCAGTGACCCTCACCCCCATCCAGCCTCCCTCCTCGGGACCTGACCCCTCTGCCCTCTCATGCAAACCCACCTCCAGAATCCGTGGGTGCCAGACATGCGAGGTGTTCAGGGGCAGACTCCAGTTACCGTAGATCTCCTCTGGGGCAGGGGCAGGGACACACACAGGGATCCATGGACCAGGACAGAGACAGAGAGGGAGAGAAGGTGCTGCTGTGAACACACTGTTGTCTGGGTCGGGGTCAGCTGTCCAGACCTCCAAGCCCCGAGCCTCCCCTTTTCCACCTTCCGGAGGGCATTTCCATCTCTCCAGGGCCAGGATGGCTTTGGCCGGAACCAGAAATGCAAAGGCGCTGGCCTGGAACAGCGGCAGCCTGGAGGGGACCACAGAGCAGGGGCGGGGGGGG